AAATGAACAGTGTGGTTAGACTTACAGAATTGCACCTAAATGTCAGTCCCACAAAAGTGCTTTTATCACGTTAGTGCCCTTGCCCAAACTCTTTCATTATGGATAGCAATTCCTGTACAGTAGAGAGCACACAGGATTGTTCATAGTGGTGCTTTACTGCTGGATTATTAATCACTCTTGAAGAACAAGGATTTATCCTTGTCATGTTCTTTGAGGAAAATCCTTCCTTTTTTCCTAAACCTTTCAAAGGCTATTCATATTGAAGCTGGAGAGTCAGGAAGTGTTATTTGCTACCAGAAACAGTCTTGAGACCCATTCATTCCTCTCTAGAAATAAAAGCCTTAACATGAAGGAGGTCAAGGTCAAGCTCATGCCTCTTACGTCCTATGTTTCAGCTGCATTGCTTGGAGAGTGGGCTGCTCAGCTAACACATCTGCAATGAAATTAAAGACAATGAAACTTTGCAGATTTTAAACAGCTAATGATTTCTAATGCTGCAATTCAGACTCTGAAATAATACCATCAGCTAGACTGGGAGAATTTCTCTACCTGGGAGAATCCTTCATTTCAGGGGTAGTGATGGCAGGTCCTAACTGGTATTTTCAACTTTTCCCCAATGTAGGTCACATTCTGATCTTGGTTATCCCTCTCAATATACAGTGACACCACTGAGCTCATCCTAACCAGACATCAGGATGCAGCCCATTAATCATCATTTGGGCAGAGTTTCTCTTTTGTTATAAGTTTGAGCTAGTTTTGATTACTGAGCATGACTTGATTAAGAAAGGCAGGTCCTCTGACCATCTGTCAGGTCTTTATAAAAACACTGGCTTATTTCTTTGCTTGATTCAAGCATGGCACATGGCAAATTACTGCTCACTGGATGTGAGATTTGTTCATTGCAGGAAAACCTAATCCCAGGTGCAGAGGAGGTGGGGAAGTTGCAGGGGACTGCAAATAAACAGCCATAAAGCACGTGCCATCATGCTCAATTACAGAAAGAGGACAAAAGCGGCCTCTTTCAGCAAAGCTTCTCTAAGAAGACAAAACCCAGGGGCTATTTTCTGTCCTGTCTTTGCAATATGTGCAACCGTTATGAAACAAGATAAGAGCTTGGCTCTAAAATTTTAACAATAATAGCTGTTTAAATGGAAGTTATTATCTATTGGAGATGAATCTGTTCCTCACTTTCACAGTGCTCATTGTCAGGACAAGATGAATATGGGCTGCACAGGTACACCTGAGAGACAGGGAGATGCCCTGTTTGCTTAGAAGCATATAAGGAAAGCAGGCAGCTCCTTGCATTTCCTCCCCAGCTTCTGTTCTTCTTATCTAAGAGAGAATACATGACCTTCGTGTTTTCACATTAGCTGTGCCCTTGCTCGTGGTTGCTTTTCCTCTTTGAGGCTGCAGCAGGAAGAAATCCATCTTGAAGAGTTAGCCCTGCAGCTAATGGCATGGCATCTTGCTTTCATCACAGAGCTCATTGTCATATCTGTGTCAGAGTAGACTGACGTTTTGTGATGGGTCACACCATATTTAGGAGCCCAAATGTATGCTGGAGAAGAAACACACCCACTTCTGCCAGCTGCATGGTCACAGCGGTGTGAAGGACCAAGCCTTATGCAACTCGTCTGCAGCCTAAGCTGATGCAAATGCAGAGCTTAATTTCAGACTGACATCAGACACTTCAAGGATGTTCACAAACAGCAGTAAATAAGCTTTACAAAAAAAAAAAAAAAAAAAAAAAAAAAAAAAAAAAAAAGGCTTACTCTGAGGATTGGGAGGAAAAGATGAACCAGGATTTCATCTCCTTCTGAAGGGCATGCAGAAGTGTGGGGACACTCTCAAGGCCACCCCAGCCTTCCCACCTTGCTGCTGCACTTGCATTGCCTTTTGTGGCTCATCACACAGCTCCAGAAAGGCACTGATCCTCAGCAATAAATGCAGCATGTTCAGATTGGTTAAAAATAACTTACTTTGGTAAAGAAACACTCTCCAAACTCCTGTCCCACTTGGCACAGTCTGGCACTAGTGCTGGTCACTGCGTCACAAACTGTGTTTCCCCAGATCTAGGCAGAACTCAGAATTTAAATATTTCTGATACCGCCTCTGCAACAGAATAACAGGATTAAGTCTGTGGACCTAGTTTTAGAATATTTAGGTAAAATATCCTCCTCTGCCTGGATCCCTCACTATACTTGTGCTGGAAGAATAACAGCACTGATCTTTAGCAAAAATCAGGACAATTTAGACATGTCTTTGGGACTGATCTAATTGATATCTACATCTAGCTGTGAGGGGCAGGAAGATGGTTCTGTTTTATGTCTACCTGGTGGCATCTTACAAGTAGTAAAAGTGGGAGATGATGCATTAGTGAGAGAACAGGATGCTAACAGGGGATTGGGTTCAGTCTCTAAGCATATTCAGTGTGAGCTGAATGATTACAGCCCTGTAAGCAAGTGAAGGTGACATGAGTGCTTCTACTGGCAATAACGAGTAGTACAGTCTGTTAGTCACTGCAGATTATAAAAACGTAACAGAAAATTCACTTCTCAAGTAGATTCAGCCTGACTTTTGGTCTTCTACTTATGAATTTTTGATTGTGAGCCAGTGGTGATGTTGGGTGGTACAAAAAAGAAGAAACAAAGTGGAGAAATTTGTGATTTTTCTTTAGAGTCATGCTTCTCAATTAGTCAGAATCATCAGTTGGCATCTGAGTGACAGACACATCCTATTTTACATCAAGCTAAAAAAAAGTCAGAGGTTGTAACCGGAGAGATGTTTTGTAGGAAGTGATTGAACTTGACAGGTTTATTGAAATTGTTTGGTATTTGTAAAGCACGTAGAGTGGATTGAGAAACAGCAAAAAACATTCTTCCAGACAAGTCATTTTACATCAAGTTTTAGTCATAAACAAAAGTGCCCTGCAGCAGTACTGATTCAACTTTATTTAATAGAAAACCTTGCACAGGAATCAATAAAGGTTACTGATTTGCACACAGTATGATAAACTCCATATACTTTGCAGATAGCTGAGAATTGTTATTATTATTTAATATTTTTTTCAGATTTTGCAGTTTAAAACGGGGAATAGGACAGATTAGAGATAGAGTTTTTTCTTGCAAAGCCCTATTTAGGCTCAGATTTCATTCCAATGTAATTAATTTTCAAAAACAAACCCTGTTATCAATAAAATCCTGTAGAGAGCAAGTTTGTTTTTAAGGGAATTCTTTCTCTGCAGTAGAAATTAATCATTTTCCCTCAATAGTGTTTCTTAGGAACATCTATATGTAGTCTTCTTTATGTCTTAAAAAATTGAAATTGAATGGTCAAGAACAGGTAAACCATAATGGATTTGCTCTCTTTGATCACTGGAGAGATTTTTAAAAGCAGAAAGTAATAGTCTGTCTTGGGCCCACTGAAACCTGATTTTGTCTTAGTAGAAAGGGAACGGGGCAAAGATACTTGTGAAGAAGAAGCTGCTTCAGAAATTACAGCCACTTGCATGCACTCAGTCAGTTTGTGATTATGCTTGCAATAATTGTATATACAAATGCAAGCACAAAATTTCACGAGGACCTTGGTTTTTCCATTTCAGAAAAGAGAAAGGAAATCCTCTGGGTTCACACACAGACATACACAATGCTATCTTGGAGACAAAAGTCCAAATGTTTCTAAAAAATCCTGTGTACATCATGTCCCAAGCTGTTCTCTGTCTTCTAGACAACGCAAGTAGCTTCAGGGGCTTGGGTGATTTGCATCAAATTCCCAGTGCCTCAGTCTTATACATGATGCCAGTGCTGGTAGAGAAACACAACAGACTAAGGGTTAAATAAAAATACAAGGAGAGACTGGGTAATGGAAGCACATTGCCTATTTTTCTTTGAATTCTGCATCTGCTATTTTAGTAGTACTCAAATGCAATAAAGAATCTCATAGTGAGAACATTATATATCCTCATGGAGTTATACTGAAGTCTAAGAGAGACCTACATATATCCCCAGAGGAAGAGAGATAGGAGTGACCTTTGAAAGCAAATATTTGTTTCACAGTGATATAAACACTTCAGAGCAAGAAATACAGGAAAATGAAAATGCTGCAATTTACTGTGGTGAGGGCAACACTGCAATAAAATGTTCTTTTTAAAGCACTCTTCCTGTTATTAAAGGACACATCTATTCTTCTCGTGGATATTTGTAGCCAGAGGATGACTGCATTGGCGTATTCTACTAAAAAAAAGTCAGAGCCAGTCAATACCACACTATATGCTCCTTTCTTTAGGATTGAAAGAGTTTTACCGCAGTGCTGTGACATTAGTAGAGATGCAGAAAACCCAAAGAAAGACTTTGGATCAAGCATCTCAGGATGGATGTTGAGCCATTTAAAGCTGGATGCTGGGTTGCAGCTCTTTTCCTTTCATTTTTAATCTGGTTGTTAGTAGAGGAAGGAACACGCTCTGTCAAAGGGGAAGATGAAGTTTTGTGATGTGCCTTTCCCTGCCGCACCTCCCCAGCAGCTACCGCTGCCCTGCAGGGAGATATCTAGAGCTCAGCTTAACACAGCACAGTGGCCATGTCTTTCAGTGCCATCACCAGCCATCCCTTGATGTACTTTCTGCAGCCAGGTTGTGAGAAATGCACTGGCATTAACCCCACAGTTCAGACCAGACCAGAAACTGCCTACTAACACCAGCAGGGAATGATGCTGCATCACAAGTGAGAATGT